GAGCGTCATTGGGTCCGTGTCCCATCGCCGCTCCCGGAAACGAGGCCGGTTCACGGAATACTCGAGCCGGCCGGCGGCGCGGGCGGGCGCGCGGTATGACAGTCGAATGCGAACCAGGAGACCTGCAGATCCGCTCTCTCGCCAGCCCGAGCATGTGGTCTCGGGGCCCTATTGCCGATGCACAGCTGCACTCTGGTGTCGAAGTCTTGTGGCGCGGCGAGGAGGATGCAGTAGCACATATCCTCGCGCATTTGCGCAAAGTCATTTTGTTGCGTTTGGTTGTGGCTGGAGAGCAAGCGTTGTATTTCGGCAAAAGACAAAATGTTATAATCTTGTGAATTCGAATTAGTTTATAGGAAAAATTAGAGTATTTCTAAATGTTTTATGTAGTTAATAAAAAGGCTTTTCTTGTGCACGACCAATATTGCAAGATAAAAATTATCGTTCAGTTGACACAGAAAACAAAAGGAAAAAAATTGGGCCTGTTTAATAGGACGTCTAATTGTTATTAGTTACTCGTGTCTTGCATTTTTGGGCTTTTAATTTTAGACATTCTGGCTTGATGGCGCTGCGTTCTGCACGTCCAATCAGGCCCTCTAGCACCAGGAATTGAAATCGCGGGCGCTCGCATCGCTGATCCGTAAAATGTCGAATCGCAGGCACTTTGTCCTCACCTTTCCTCGTGTGGGCGGTGCACGAAACAATCCATGCACTTCTGTGCGATTCAAGGAGCGTAGCCTATGTTGTTCCAGAGCAAGCTGCGAAGAGATGCCAATTGGAAATGAGAAGGCCAAAAAAGAGGAAAGCTCAGCTAAAACCAAAGGAAACAGCAAAAAGGAGAGTTTTTTTTACTAAAACATTACTACTTCACGTGATATCAGATGTAGAAGGCAAGGCATACGTATTATTTTTCTGGAGGTTGATAGTTTTAGGACAGAGTGCGCCATATTTGGCGCACACAATACGGGGCGCCCCGACCAAGGACTTAGTCTTTCCGTATTGGGCGTGTCCGGCTATCAATCTGTGAATACGGCTGCCTGAGTGGTGCCTACTTTCGTCACTATTTTTAGAGACCTGCAAATAGTCGGATATATGTAGGCTACAAGTGCAGTCTGGCCTCGAGAAATGGTTATTTCTTAGTGGTGGTTGAAGAGCATTTCTCGTACCATCGTTATCCCATCATTTCCATTCATTATTTAATTTATTTTCACTTCTTTCACGCACTTCCATCATTCATGCAGTGGTAGGCAAAAGCAAATCATAACTCTGCTGTAATCGTGTAGTCTGTATCTGTTCATACCAGAATTCCACATACAATACATGTACGTTACTTTACAACGCATTGCCAGATAACATTAAACATTTGAAGTCGGTGCACAAATTTAATTTAAAAGTAAAATCTTTTCTGCTGCAAAACTGTTCCTATACAATTAGGGACTATACTGACTATCAAAAAGAAAAATAATGTTTATTTTAACAAAACAGTGATTATAATGAATTAGTTTATATTGTATAATTACTTTAAAAATACTTAATACGATTGTAACAAATAATGTACTTCAGCTTCCGGGTCAATGACCTCCATCTCGATCAGGTTTTTTTTGTCCAGTTTCCCTGATACATTCAGCAAATGCTGAGATGTCCCCTTGTTTTGCTTCTGGATGTAAATGTAGCTTCACTATACGCATGTTTTGTAGAACTCTCCTTTGGTTGTAGTGGTAGGTGTAGAGGTAAGGGCGAGTTACTATAATGTTAGTAATGCAGAAAATAAAATCGGAAGTTCGTTTACCGTTGCAAATAAGTTTTCTATAACTTGGGAACGAAAATGTCTAGTTTTTTTAAAAATGTCGCTTATGTCGCTATTGTCATGCTTTTTTTAAAAATATTATTTTTTTAAATTTGTTTTTAATTTTTATTCATTTTTCAACTGTTTATAGTTAAGATGATGGGCAGGGATTCTGGAACTCAAGAAAACGTGCACAGATTGTCTTCTCCCCCATACGTCACATACATTTTTACTGTTTTTGACTAAATAAATCTTAATATTCTTGGAAAATGGAGATAACTAATGAGTAAGCTTACCTATGCTCAGTACAGTGTGTGGCACGTCGTAAGTCATAAGTCTTACGTCAATATGTATTTCAATTGATACACTATAATACCATTTCTTTAAAACAACATCATTGTTTGAATAGAGCAACTTTATTTCTACCTTAACGAATGCGTTCTATTTATTACGCTTCACCTTACTTTAGGTTGTCCGCCGGGTTATTATTTTAATTACTTTATACGTCTTATATCATTTTCACGATGAAAAAACATTGATAGTTTGAGCATCAGAATCTGATGGTTCATTCATGGTTACATATTCTGTACATCGGTTGTATTTGTATTCCAATTTATATTTCAGTTATAGTACTCAATAGAATAGAATATCCGGCCTGGATACTTACAATTCACTCTCTCTCAAGGCTCACCTTGCGGAGAGTAAGTGTTGGGCGCACAAAGTAAAAGGTTGTTCTACCGAGAAGTATTTTTGTTTCTTAGTTTAGGAGGATCTCTAGTTGAATGCTCTGTGTCTTGTGATTCAGTGTCGCGATTGACTGAACGTACAAATCTGTCATGTATTTCCGTTGCCTTGGAAAAGTCTAACCAGTACGGATGAATAAATCGTTAATCGCTTCTCATTTACTTTCCTTCGAACTGTGTTTCCGTGTTACGATACCTTTCTTTCTCTATAATTGCAAGGTTGATGTCAAGCTGACATATGGATACTTTTGCTTACGTCTGTTGTAAACTCTGACAGATCGCAGTTTCGTAAATTTAATTATCGACGTCCTGCACCCAATATATAACGTTCTTCGCTATCCTTCGTAATATTTGAACAGGCGATGAATGATTACACATTTCTGAGGGTGGTATGATTTTTACAAAATATAGTCAGTAGCAGATGTGTGCAAATATGACGTATGACACGAAGGATGTAGAATCTTCCATATTTTTATTGCGAATTAATTGCCATTGCGGGTTGAAGTATGTGTCCCAATACGATATTTTTTCAGCATTACGGTATGTTTTTAAAATTCCATTATGTTTACGAAACATAAAAGAGTAAATTTTAATTTTTGTTACATGAATATTATTTGTAAGATCGGAAGTTTGCTTCTTCCTTTACAAATTACACAGATGTTATCATAGAACTTTAGAAATAACCAATTACTGCAACGTAAAAAATGTGAAATCGATTGAAATAAAGCCAATAAAGTATTATGAAATATATTGTCTTCGGAAACGAATTGTCAATGTCATTTGAAAAGTAATTTGAATGCAAATGAAATGAGATAAAATATTAATGGCTTTATACTACATTATTGTCTTTTTTTGGCCCAATGAAAAGTACACTTCAGATTTCCTAAGTTGATCAGCTGAAATCTAAATTTTAGAAAAACAAGGGGGGAAAATAAAATCGCACATTCAAAGCCAGGTCATATAATACAATTTCACATCTTTTCTTGCATAATAGATAATGTCAAATGAAAAATGACTTCTATATGTCTCCTCTGATAGTAATTTCATTCAACACAGGCTGTTGGGTGCCACCTAAAATCGTTTTATTTTGAACCCAGATACTAAATCTCGTTCTGCGGCGTGCACTAGGAACAACTGCATCGTTTTCACTGCAAGTTACCACGTGGCGTTAAGACGTGTGGATGATTAGCGGTGTCCACCTCTCATGCATGATTAATCCCGCAAACAGTATTTCCCCCCGGAGCATTCAATTTTCATGTCCAGAGGCATAATGAGCCCGAAAGCGTGTCCTCCACGATGTCTTGCGGAGTTGGATGTTTTAGGAGAAATTCCCACTTTCTCCGCTAGGATTAAGATTGGTTTTCCAAATGAGGCGGAAACAAGTTACCGCCTCGTGATGCCGCCAGTTCCTACCATCGGGAAGTGCTCCTTCGCGGTCATGTCATGTCATCTCTTTTTGCGAATTCGTTGTATAACTGACGCAAAACTTTAACTCGATATAAGTATTTTAATCAGCCAAAGTAATAAACTTCTTTTCCTTTTCAAAAAAAAAAATAATATTGATCTGATCGAAGATTCGCGAGAATGTGAAATTGCACTGGTTCGAGTCTTAAGAAAACAGACCGCGAAAACATCATTATACAGCGGAAGGGAAAGTTTAATATAATTGAATAATGGCTGCGATCTGTCGCGTTACGCTTGATATGTCTATGGGACTATATTTTGAAATAAATTCGTCGCGAGATAATCGCGCCGTAGAACAATTGCTGTGTGGAAAGCGCGCGCTTAAAGGTCTACGGCGTAATGCGCGGGTCTGCATCCGGTTGATCAAACAGTAGCCGGCGGTCACGCGTGCGTGGAGGGAGTGGCGCTGGCAGTGGCAGTGACGGTAATGGTGCCAGCGGCGGTGGCGGAGACGGAGGTGAAGGCGAAGGCGAAGGGGAAGACGAAGATAGGGAAGAAGGTGGAGGTGAAAGCGAAGGGGGAGATGGAGGCGAAGGTGAAAGAGAAAGCGAAGGGGAAGGCGAAGGGGGAGGTGAAGGCGAAAGTGGAGGGAGTGGCGAAGGCGAAGAAGGAGACAGAGGCAAAGGCGAAAGCGAATGAGGAGGCGAAGGAGGGTGAAGGTGAAAGCGAAGGGAGAGGTGGAGGTGAAGATGAAGGGGAGAAGAAGGGGGAGGTGAAGGCGAAATCGAAGGGGGAGGCGAAGGCGGAGGCGAAGGGGGAGGTGAAGGCAAAGGCGATGGAGGAGGCGGAGATGAAGGCGAAGCAAAGATGAAGGCGAAAGCAAAGGGAGAGATGAATGCGAAGACGAAAGTGGAGGTGGAAGCGAGGGCAAACGGGGAGGTGAAGGCTAAGTGAAGGGGGAGGCGAAGGCGGGGAAGAAATCAGAGGTGGAGGCGAAGGCGAAGGGGGAGGTGAAGGGAGAGGCGAAGGAGGAGGCGTAGGTGAAGGCAAAGGGGGAAGTGGTGGAAATGGGGGAGACGGTGGTGATGGCGAGGAGGAGGGTGAAGGGAAAGACGAAGGACGGAGGCAGTTGGGTACTTGTAGCGCGTGGCCAAAGCGCAGTCGGGGGTGGGGCGGTGGCGATAACGGTGGTGGTGGGCGTGGCAGTGGCGATAATGGCGGTGGCGGTAGGAGGTGCGGAGGTGGAGAATTGGGCACGTCGAATCGCCCAAGGCAGCCAGCAAAAGGGGTCGCGTGGAGCAACGCCTAGGACGGGACGTGGGTGGAGTCAGGTCTGTAGGCCATGGAAGTGAAAATAATGGTGGGTGAGGCACAGTGTCAAGTTTTGCGAAACTACTTGGACGAAAATCAATTTAGGCTGGCAATTCTGTCGTTTGCGACTGTTTGTATTACATTAGTATTACGGATGCATTTCATTTGTTCATTACGATGATATTCATTACTATGTCGTTAGTGTTACGGGCCTGAATATTTTATGGCGACTTACATATGAGTATACTCATGTTCGTTGTAAATATCATAAATGTAAGTAGGTTTTTACCAATAATGAATTTCCGTTTTACTGAGTCTTGTAGTAATGCATTTTACGAAAAATATTAATGTCGTTTGCTCGAGAAATATAAGAACGTGCATTTAAAATAATTAGCATCACTTATCTCTTCTATATTCTGATGTTTTCTTTTTTGGCGTGGGGTTTGTCAGTTGGTTTGTATCAGTATTGTGGATTAAAAAAAATTACGAATGTTTTAATGTGGCTTGAGCAAAAAGTCAAAAGCAGACCGCCACCAAAAGGAAACAAAAATCAACCATACCAGTTTCCGGTATTTGATCGCCGAGGTCGCAGTCGGGATATGGCACAGAAAATAATGGTTACATTGGGTGAACCGATATACGTCACACAAGCGTAAATACAATATTTTTTTTGAACTGTGGCGAAATTTGTTCCATGAACCTTAAACCGGGATAAATCAGAATTCCTTTATTGTAATCGTCAGAACCTAGCGTATTCGCTCGTACTCGAGATGGTTTTGAATGTTTAGACGACGATAATATGATTTAAATGACGATTCATTCGATGGAGGCATGAAAAGCACAGGAAACCGATGAACCTCAAGAAAACATTACGAGTTCCCGCTTAATCTACCATGAGTTACAGACAAGGATTTGAGGATTTCGACAAGGATTTGAGGATTTCGACAAGGATTTGGGCGTCTTTTACCAGAGGTGGATGGGGACAATCTGTCAACCATTCCATGGGTCGCGCGGATAAATCAGGACGTTTCAAACTGATTGAAGGAAATCTTAGAGATACTGTCAAGCTAGGAATCCGTTGGCAAGCCTCGCCTGATGAGTCTGCCTCGGCCGATTGCAAAACAGACGCCGAACAATTCGGCGGCGACAGATTTGTAACAACACAAGCGAAGCTCGCCAGCGCACATAATGCGGTAAAACCTCCTTTACACACGAGGTCCACAAAATGGGGTAGATAAAACTGGGTTTAAGCTTTGGTTTATATAAGACGCACAAGACTGGACGGGTAAAACCGGCGTGTACCCGAACGTACACGGACCTCTTTACAGTATGTGAGGCAACCATTTTATTTTTGACTTGTGAAGTCGCTCGAGCGTGCAAGCCGGGGGTGGGGTGGGGCGTGCCAGATGTTGCCTTGCCGCTAGAGCAGCACGCCGATACTGCTACCAGGTATATTGTGAACGCAACGTTACTCACGTGACGTAGAAAACCTAGGCGTAAAAGGTAAAACCCGATTGCCTTCTTGGATGCACAGTTTAACACAAGTCGCACTCACAGCCTTAAGGGTAAAACCGGCGCGTATCCCTAACGTGTACGGACTTCTTCACGGTTTCTGCGGTCACTCTAATACTTTGGCGTCGGCCTGTGGGGGCGGGCGCGTCCGGGAGCGATACGTCTGGCGGTGCAGCATTCACATGTCGCCGACGGAGCCACGGCTGCCTGCTTCATTGTGCAGGCCCCAGGGCCCTTTACATCCGAGTTTTAAGGTCGCATCAACATCCAGGTTGTTAGTGACCACTATTGCATTTAACGGTATGGTAACTGTGAATGAAGATGGCATGGCATGGCATGAGATGACATGGAATGAGATGACATGGCATGGTGGCGATAGGAGGTGAAAGGACGAACACAAACACAACCAGTACAAGGCGGGCTTCGAACCCGCGATCCTTCGATCCGAGATCGCTACGGTCCTACTGCCTTAACGATCTCGGCCATCCTGACCGGCAGTGTCCCGTGCAGATTAAACATAAAATGCATAAATATGGATGGTTTGAACGCGAATGTGTGCGGACCTCTACACGGGTTTTGCGGCCACACTACGACTTGGATCTCGGCTTGTGGAGTGGGTGCGCGCGCGAGCGGTTAGCAGGGCGGAGCGGGGCAGGGCGGGGCTCAGCGGCGCGGGGAGGGCGGTGCGGGGCGGTAACGTTGCCTTGCCCGGGGCTGCGCGCGGCGCCTGGGCGTGACCGCGGTCGGGAGCAGGGCGACGCGGCACGTCGTGGTGGAGCGGAGCGGGGCGGGTCGGAGCGGAGCGGTGGCGGCGCCAGGCTGACCGGTCGGACAAGGGCGCCGCGACGGCGGCGGCCCGGCCCACGCCCACGGCGGCGCCCCGCGGCGAGGGCGTTCGCAGCCACGGCTACACAATGACCACCGCGTCCGCGCCTGCACACCAGGGCCAGAGAAGCTGCACGCGGGGATCGCTGCATGGGATGCGGAGGAGGCGTGCCGTACTCGCAGAGGGGAGAATTGGTGGAGGAGGGGGCGATAGGCCAGGGTTCGACCCACCCTAGTGAGTCATATGCTTGAAAAGGATTAGTTTTTGTGTGAGGTAAAGAATAATTACTGTTATCCATTTAAAGGTGTATTTTTATTTTCACATTTGGTAATGCTCAAATCAAGGAATACAAATGGAAGAAATTGGTGAAGATATTCTTGGGTTAGTAAATAAATTTGAAATTTTTATTAGTATGAATATGAGACATATTTTCAAGGTAATAGTTGGAGGTCACAAGTGTGCTAATTCCTCAATGCATCTGCAGTTACAGGCGCGGATCCACGGGGTGGAAAATGAGGGAAATTCCCCCGCTAAAATGTTTCAGTAACTATTGATTATAACTTATTACGAAACATTCAAGCAACCAGTCTTCTCCGTGTTTTCAAAATTCAGAAGAGAATCGATTAAATTGTTAACATAGCCAACACCACTTCTTAACTACTTATTTGGTGTGACACGTGCCACATGTTGCTCCAATGTAAAACCAGCCCCAGAAGCTACACAATGACCACCGCCTCCGCGCCTGCCAGCTCCGTTAAACCAGGGGTGGCATGGCGTGGTCCTGCAGCGGTCGCGACTGCTACGTAATGTACGGTCTTCTGAGTATTCTTTATTGTCTTGACACTCGCAACTGACTTTTTATGTTGTCGGCTAGACTATGTATAACATGTCAGTCATGCGCACGTGTTCTTTCTTTCATCGCTTGATAGTTGCCGAGTAAATGTCACTAATCACGAACAACTTACACGAATGGGATATAATGTACGATATTAATTTAAATGTTCATAAAATGAACTATGAATATTTAATTTTAATTTTTTTCTTGCTCCTCTTTCTTTTAATGTTTTTAAAATTTCGTTCTTGGCTTCAAACACACACTAAAAAACGAGTTTGGCCGTTATTTCATAATATTTTATAACAATTATTATTTATAGAACCTCCAGGAAGTTTTTTTAAGTTAAGACTTTATTCACGATTTATTAGCTAATAAGCGTGTAAACCTGTATTTGCCCATCCAGATAAACTTTAAACAGGTTTATCTCGTTTTTCGAGCGGTACCAGATTGCAGCTAAGAACGATGTATCGACCCACAAAGTTAATGCACATACTCATTACCTTGAACAGAAATATTGTTCACCACGAAATCGCAGTGTTTCATATCATCCAAGTTGGTTACAAGCTTTAATAAGTTCCTAAATTTAATCTTATCTGTAGCTTAAATAGGTACTAAAAATGCAACAAACTTTAATGTGTTAAATGGCTGTTAAATTGTCGTTGTTCATGGATCCTCAGCTCTAATTCCATTCCTTTAATTGGACACTTAATACTCCACGTTCGCTCATTACTGCCTAAAATCCAGGATATCTCAATCTCCTTGTTCGGTATTTCGGCAATTACCTTGACATTCGCGTATGTTCCAAACGTGTTGAAATGTCACATACCCCACGTAGCCGCTAACGACACAAAAGCACTTCCCTGCCTCACTCTTGCCTTATCCGCGAGTGCCCGCGGCGAGGGCGTTGTGTGTCCTGGAGTCGAAGCCGCTGCCCTCGCTTTGTCCCCGTCGCGGACCTTCACAGCGCCCCCCCCTTCCGACCCCGCCGCGCTCCACCCGCGCCCAGCTCCGCCTGGCCCAGCCGGGCCTTCCCTCGCCCGCTTCTCCCCGCCTCGTCCCTTTCTGCCGTTAGCCGCGTCGCGTCTCGCCTGGCCACGTCATCGCCGCGCCGGGCAGTCCCCGCGCTAACCTCCACCACTTCCACGTGGTCACCGGGTCTCCAGGGCGACCCGCGGTGTAGCGGTCGGCCTGCTCACCGCTAAGGCCAGGGTTCACTCTTCGTCCGGTCCGGGTGGAATTTGCGGTAGACGATGTGGATTCGCTGGAGATGAAGGAGCGAGTTCGTGGGGGGGGGGGCACCTTGATGCTCAT